TTAGTCGGCATCATCAGTGAGTCTTGGAGATTTGCTAGAACGCTCTGATAGTGCCGACTACGATGCCGGCGGAACGCTTGAGAATTTACCAAGTCCACTGTCGGATGCTGGGAATTATGACAACAACTATGGCAGACGACTTCGGACTAGGTGCGTTCTACTTAGTTGCCCTGACGACAAGACCAAGTTGCAACAACGAGGTCAACCCACTTCTATGCTTTTCTTGCTTGCAGATATTAGGCATCGCCTTCACGGTTCATCCCCTCGATTAACCCCGTGTACCCTGAGCAGACTGTGTGCTATCAAGATACTAATATTTATGCCATTGCATAATTCTCGTATGCTTGTAGTTGAACGGATAATGATTTACCCATGAAACATTTTATAGACCTTCAATAACTGCTCAACTATTCTTCAATTTACTCAAGACAAAATCGCTGTCACTTCCTGAAACAACAGTAGAAATCGAGGCATAATAGAAGTATGTTAAGCTAGTCTACCTTGTTCCCATCATTATTGCTAGATGAGTTCGTGTCCCAGCAACCAGTCAAGTTATGTGCGTTCACGTAGATAGACAATGTGAGCCCTGTCGTGGCACATTGTTTCGGCTCTACAAAGCAAGCTGGCAATGCACCCGCAACTTGGCCGGGCTTCTGCTCTCGTAGTCCGGTTGCCTTTGTCGTGGTACCACTTTGCGTCAGATAGCCCGTCTTTTCACCCTGAAGACTGTAGATGTATGCTGTGTCAGTATAGCACAAGGTGACACCCATTCCTCCTATCAGAAGTTCGGCATCACTATTCTGTGCTATGTTGGTGTACGCCAGGTCACTGATGCATATTTCACTTCCAAGGCCCGCTGTCATCTGGGGGAAGAGACTAGTGCTGTCACTTGATGCGGCAATGTTATTTTGTGCGGTGAATTGGCCCGGCTGACAGAGGCCATCGTTGCTGGCGGCCACTTCTTTGTTGTTCAAATAAATACTGGGAGGTCGGTCATAATACCATATTCCATGTATTTGCAACCAAGAGTTGGCATCTCCGAGAAGGGAGACATTCACCGTAGCACTCTTACAGACCTGAAATTCCGTGTTCACAGTCAACTGAATCATCTCTCCGTTCTCAGTAAAGGCGAGCAAGAGACCCGTCGCATTGGATATCGACGCAGACGGTGGCAATGAGCGAAAGATTTCAGCTCTGGTTGTTTCGACGGTCGGGTCGGCTGGCTGATTCGACGAAATAAAACTGGAAAATTTTAATTTTATGGTGAAGATAAAACCGACACACGTGGAGGCGTCAATCAGACAAGCAGACTCCAGATTGGAAAAGCCTCCCTCGCCTACAGGATCACCTTGGTAGATGACAAAGGAGTATTGACTTCCCGAAGTACAAATGGCCCCATCAGGTGTGTCGAAGTTGTCCATCTCAAGGGTCGTCTGTACCCCGATTACACGGTTGGGATTCCAATTGGTCAGCACCCCTTGGGTCGGCCAATAGATTAAAGAGTTGCTGAATATCAACAACTGTGCATAATCCATGCCAATCAGAATGGCCAGTTTCTTCATGTCTGTATAGGCTGTCCAAACGCCAAGGAGCATGCCGACACTCAAGGAGACAGTATCACCAGTAGACGGCAAGCTATGTGAACTGATAAGTACGAAGGAACTCGACCGTCCCATGAAACGGTTCGACTTGACCCAGGCAGTCACGATGCTGGAAGATAGGAAGACTCTCAATTCTGGTTCTATGGGTTGGCTGTCTAGCTTGCATTGGAGCAATAACTTGCCATTCTTGAAGACCTGCAACAGACTGTCCGCC